GCCAAATTGTGTAAAATAGAACAAGTATTAAGTGTCTGCTTAACCCCCTTTAATTGTTAATTCCATGCACTTTAGTAGATTCCAGCATTATCAAAATAACTGCAGGGAGAAGGGATTGAAATTCATTTGGGTTCATTAATACCACCATTTATCAGCGAAATGTCCCATAGATAATGATGGGAGGGTCGTTCTGTTTTCCTCGTTTCTGCACTCAGTACCGCGTGCTGAACCACTATCATCATGGTTACGTTTCTATGGGAAAGACCTAGACAGATGCTTTTTTCAGCTGCTGAAAAGTGGCTTCTGCCTCTGCATTTGGGGACCTCTCACAACATCTTCCACTGAGGCAGCATTTATCTTTCAGGATCTTAACATATTTTCATCGTCCTGAGAAGCAACAGATTAAAAAAAAAAAACACCATTGTTATGGAGAGAAACAAGCACGGTGCTTGCTGAATTGTTCCAGTTCCTCCCAGAGATGAGATGAATTATTACTATCCAAACCCACAGTCTTAGATCCTGGATTTGTAAATAATGTGAATTAAGCCTGCTAAAACACACACACACACACACTCAGCAAAATATTGAGGCCAAAACAATTCCAAAGAACAGAAAGACAGTTCCATTTACAGAGAAGAAAAAAAACAGGCATAGGAATTTTAGTCTTTTAGTCTGTCATGTTGAAATTGGGTAGCAGATACGTATTTATGTACCAATTATTATATCCAGGCTATGGAACCTCTAAGAAGCTAAGCACAACCACAACTCTTAGGGAGTTTGATTACAACCCAGAAGAGATGTTAAAATAGGTGCCTACTATGCCAAGAAAAACACAGTAGTGTTCAACATACACAAAATTAACATGCATAAATGCAACTAAGTGCACTTGAGTTTTAAATAATGTGAACAATTCCATCCACTTTTCCAATCACTAAGTATGTGCTTTGTATCTGTCTTGAGGTGTGACTCTGCCCTCTCTACAGTCTGACCCACTGCCCAAATGCTCTTAGCATATGCTTATCATCTGCCCAGAAAAAAGCCAGAGCTTGATGATTAATATTTATCCAATAAACCAGTCATTCTCAAAGTGTGGTGCCTGGACCATGGGCTTCAGCATCACCAGGGAATCTGTTAGAAATGCAAGTTAGCCCTGGCCGGTTTGGCTCAGTGGATAGAGCGTCGGCCTGTGGACTGAAGGGTCCCAGGTTCGATTCCAGTCAAGGGCATGTACCTTGGTTGCGGGCACATCCCCAGTGGGGGGTGTGCAGGAGGCAGCTGATTGATGTTTCTCTCTCCTCAATGTTTCTAACTTTCTATCCCTCTCCCTTCCTCTCTGAAAAGAAATAAATGGCATATATTTAAAAAAAAGAAAAGAAATGCAAGTTCTCGGGACCCACTCCAGTTCAGCATCATAATCACCTGGGTGACAATGATGCACAGTAAAGTTTGAGACCCACTGCCACAAAGCCAGCTACTTCACCTGTGCCCAATGGAAGAAAAAGTGACCAACGGTAGTTTTAATAAAAAAAATTCACTTACCATTGATTTTAAAATCTAAAAGGTCCTAAGTCTCCAAACACAATGAGAAAGGCTTCCTAACTTTGAGTTCATTCTCATTATCCAGAGAGATTATGTAAAATTATATCAGAACCACCTGGTGCTTATCTGAGCTACACATTTCCAAGGCCCTGCCCAGACAAGAGAAGGCACCTTTAGGAATGAGCATTTTTAACAAGGTCTCTGGGCAATTCTTTGCACCAAAAAGTTTAAGAATGGCTACAGCCCGGCCAGTGTGGCTCAGTGGTTGAGTGTCAATCTATGAAACAGGAGGTCACGGTTAGATTCCCAGTCAGGGCACGTGCCTGGGTGGGGTTCGATCCCCAGTCGGGGAAATGCAGGAGGCAACCAATCGATGATTCTCTCTCATCACTGATGTTTCCATCTCTCTCTCCCTCTCCCTTCCTCTCTCTGAAATCAATAAAAATATATTAAATAAAAAGAATGGCTATAACCACTGAATTCAAGCACACACTGGCCTACAGTTTTAAAGGTTGATGTTTTCATTGACATAACTGCCTGATACCCTTAATATGCAATTTTAATATGGAAGCATATTAAATGTCATGTTCCTAAGCAAAAAAAAAAAAAAACCATGGTGCTACCCTGTTTTTATAAAACTAGAGATTTAAAGTTCATATTAGAAATTCCATGTGTTAGCAAACTGGTGCTTTTTTCACGTGTCTCCACTAAGGATATAAAGAAAAATATTATCCTTAGTCCTGAATAAACTCCCAAAGGAAGGTCTCATCGCTATTTGTCTTTTCTAAGCTACTACCTTAGGTAGTAAAATTCAATTCCAGAAGATCTCAAGAGGATAAAAGATGAGAAAGTGATGGTTTTCCTTAGAAGACTTTCCCAGAGCCAGCATCTGAGTCAGCCATTTATACTCACAACGCCTTCAGACTACCTCAGTTTAAAAAAACAAACAAAAACTTTTTGAAATCTGAGCTCTCCAGATGGCTTTAGAAATAATTTAAAGCACTGAGTGGGCAATGGAAGGTATTGTTATAACCCAAAACACACCTTCCTTTGCAAAAGCTCCAAAATCAAACCTAAGAAAAATTACTGAGTTATTATCAGTCCAGTTAAGATCCTATTCCTATCTTTAGGAGTTCAAAAACCATTTACAACAAAAATCGGTGCCAGGCACCATGGAATAAAAGATGATCTACCTAGAAGCAGCTACATTCTCCTAGTAAGACCTTCTACACTGATTCGCTTGTCTTACAGCATCTACTCTTACTACCAGACACCAACACCAACATAATGATTAGCAACCCAAATGGATTAAATTTTAATTTCCTATAAGGTACAGAGTACATTCCTGAAGATCTCCTCAACCCAGTGAAGAAAGGAAAGTGAAAACTGTAAGTCACCAACTACCTAATCAATGTCAAGAATAAAAGGGCACAATTTCATGTCACATTTTATCCTCACAGGAACCCTGTGAATTAATTTTCAGTAACCCATTTTAGAGATGAGAAACTCAGTAATACAGCTACTAAATGGCAGGGTCAGGGTTGAAGGTTAGGGTTGCCTAAACCAGAGGGCGGACTATTATTTCTTACTAAGAAGACCTGGGCAAGCAAGTCACTTTAATCTCTCTAAACTTAAGTCATCTTCTATAAATGGAATATCTGCCAGTTATTTATAAGACTGAAATGAAATGGTGTTCATAAACAAGGATTATTGAAGTGCTCTCTACATGCAGTTTTTGGTGATAAAGCAAGAAAGGCAAAATCCCCGAACCAGCATGTCCTAATACCTCCAGAAACAGGCAGAATATACTTCTTAGATGCCTCAAGCTAAAATTAGCTGAGGCACAGTCTTCTCTATTTTTAGTTGAAAAGGATGGTGGAGCTGGGCCAGGTTCCCAGGCTAGGGCTTACCCAGTGGTCAACTTCAGACAAGCCAAAAGTCAATATCCAATTTTGTCCTCCCGGGAAGCACTCACTGTCCCTGCATATATTGGGATTTTCTTACCCCAATTCTAGGCTTGCCCATCATCAAAACCCTCCCACTGCCACTGCCCACAATCCTGGAATGCCTGCTTGAGTTCAAGTCACAACTGCACTTTTTTGCCTTGTAATTTAGATTAAAACATTTGTACCATCAAGAAGCTTTAGTTTTCTCATTTTAAAAGATTATTAATCGCCCGGCTGGCACGGTTCAGTGGTTGAGCATCAACCTATGAACCAAGTGGTCACAGTTCAATTCCAGGTCAGGGTACATGCCCGGGGTTGTGGGCTCCATCCCTGGTAGGGGGCATGAAGGAAGCAGGTGATCAATGATTCTCATCACTGATGTTTCTATTTCTCTATCCCTCTCCCTTCCTCCTGGAAACCAATAAAAATATATATTTTTAAAAAGGTTATTAGTAATTTCTAATCACAGGATGGTAGAGTAGATCTAATTGAAACACTAAACTTCAACTGTGTCCTGAGTGTCAGGGCTCTAGAAAACAGCCTTAAAAAGCCTTAGAGGCCAATTGGGGGAAACAGCTATGTTAACCATCCATTCCAGTGCAATGTGATTGAGCACTTTTCATACACATCACTGTGAACTGCTGAGGATCACACAAGAGCACTATAGAGGGCACAGCTCATTCGGGGCAAACAGTCAAGGTAACAATAAGTGGGGACTTAAAGAATATGTAAATTATTGAATAATTTACCATGTAAGAGATTACTTAAGATAAATAAATAATGCGGTGAAAAAGAAGAGAATAGGTCTTATTTTGTAAAATAGTGGTTTTTGTCTCCATGTAAATTGCTGGAATGGGAGAGCAAGTGTAATCTAGTGTCTGGAAATAAAAACAAACTGACTAGCAACAAGATTCAAAAAGTGGAATGATGAAATTGGGAGGCTCTGCTGACACCTGCCCTTTTCCACCAGCTATGACCCTTCACCACTGCAAACCAAGTGAATCCACAGCAGCTAGCTTGTGCTCCCCAAGTGGACTCTGTGGATTCAAAATCTGGCTCCCCCACTTGTCTGCCTAAGTTACTTAACTTCAAAGAGCACCTCATCTTCAACTGGCAGTACTTTTAACGACAGTACTTCACAGAATTAATGTGAAGTATCGAAGTAGTGGCACATGTAAAGGGCCTCGCACACAGTACGTGCTCAACAGATACTGGTGATTATTTTTTACCATCAGTATACTGGCGTTCAATCAGAATAGTTCAAACAAAACTAACTCTCCCTATCCTTTCTTGGTTCCTTCAATTTTGAAGGTGCCATATGACCCAGTGCTTCCTCTGTATGCTCTTATTTCCACATTACCTTCTGAATGCCTTAACACCATTGACTAGTGGAGCAGCTTCCTACTTCCCATTATTGTGCTGTCTCTCTCTCCAAGTGAAGATTTCTTTACCCTTATCTCCCTCTGATCCAAGTTTGGAGAAACACAGAATACAGATTTGTAAAGATATGAATGAACTATGTGGAGATATTTTCCTAACTTTTAAAATATTAACTACAGTCAAGGTTAATAAGTTTATGCAATGAGTTATTTAAAGAATCTAGTATACACAATCAAAACCTACCTGTGGCCAAAACCGGTTTGGCTCAGTGGATAGAGCGTCGGCCTGCGGACTGAAAGGTCCCAGGTTCGATTCCGGTCGAGGGCATGTACCTGGGTTGCGGGCACATCCCCAGTAGGAGATGTGCAGGAGGCAGCTGATCGATGTTTCTCTCTCATCAATGTTTCTAACTCTCTATCTCTCTCCCTTCCTCTCTGTGAAAAATCAATAAAATATATTTAAAAAAAAAAAAAAACCTACCTGTGACAAAAATGTATGCATCAATTTCTACCACTTCTATATCACATCTGTAACAGTCACGGAGAGGGTAGACACACAATATGTCATGAGTTATAAGACAGATGAAATGGTCACTGGTTGAACTGTGTATTGACTGATACAGTATCAACCCAAGGGAAGGGTCAGAGGTGTGCCAGCGAGCAATGAATTTGGTTCCACTCTAGTCATCAACATTTATAATTTAAAGAAAATTAAAGGGAATGCTTATCAAAACTCTGAGAGCAGAAATTGTTAATATACTAACAGCTTATGACAGCTTGAACTTGGAGCCAAAAGGAACAAGAGAAAATTTAAGACAGACAATTGCAAATTCCTACACTTAAAAGTCAAACAATTACCTGCACAATGGATAAAACCTAGCTTCCAAAAGTTCACATGAAAAGGTTCTGACTGCAAGGTTACTGTTGAGTCAGCAAAGCAATATGCTACAAAAGCTAAGACTGCCAGAGAATTCATTTGCAGCAGAATTCCCAAACTTGGAACTTGGTAACTGTCCAACGATTTCCGCAGGAGCCTGTTCATTTCTAGGTGCTACAGCCCCAAGGGCAACAAGGATGATGATTTGGGGAGAAAAAAAAAAACACAACTCTGCAAAAACCAAGAGATAAGAACTGTAAACGGAAGGGGGGCGGGGGGAGTGGAGTCGAAGGGGGTCAGTCCTCCAAAAGAAGTTTCCTATTGGTAGCTCCAAAGGGCAAGATTAAGATATGTGATATTGTTCCAGAAAGGTGCAAACGAGAGAAAATGTTTCTAATCACCTGAGCCTACCCCTATATGAGGTTGCAAAGCTGGAAGAATTTATTCATGCTGAAGGCTGCATTAGAAGAGATTGAACCTGATCACCTCCAAATCCTATCAAGTAAGAGTTTATAATTCCATGACAAAGTTACCCAATTTTTAAAAAATAATCCTCAAAGGCTAAGTAGACCCATAGGCAATTAAAAGTTAGAAAATGACTTTATTTTTACTGTTGGAGGAAAATTCACATTTGTTATCAAGGCATTCTTTTTACAGTCTATAACTTTTAAACAATAAAAGTTGGCTTCTTCTGTAACCTCACTGGCGTCTGTATAAAGGCCATCATTTATGGGCAGACCAACGGGGAGAAGTAAAATATTGCCCCATAGCACTGTAACAGGAAATGTAACAAGAAAAAGATGCATAAAGCCAAATTCTGTTGATCGGGTTCAGGCAAGGTCAGCAACCTATGCGTTTGAAAAAAAACTGAACAATGACCAGTCTTAACAGCAGGTCTGAGTCACTTAGGACCCCTGAGTCACCCGACCATCCGCTGTGCTGAATGATTAGTTATGGGTGTGACCGTTTACAGTAAGGCTCCCAGCCCAAGGAGATCTTCAAGCTGGTTTTTATGACTTAAGATATGGAAGACAGGTCACGTCCTGGAGGAAAAAAAATATTTTTTTTTTTAAACAGTGAAGCAGCCCCATAACAAGGGCGTGGCTCCTGGTATTAGCATCTAAGACTCCTTGGAGCAGGGGTTCTCAACCTTCCTAATGCCACGACCCTTTACTACAGTTCCTCATGTTGTGGTGACCCCCAATTTCATTGTTACAAATTGAACATAATTAAAGCATAGTGATTAATCACAAAAACAATATGTAATTATAGATGTGTTTTCCGATGGTCTTAGGCGGCCCCTGTGAAAGGGCCATTCGACCCCCAAAGGGGTCGCGACCCACAGGTTGAGAACCCGCTGGGAGGGTCCTGCGTCTTGGAAGCCCCACACTAGTCCCGGGCTCATCTCCTTTGTGCGAAGCGCGCCCTCGCCCCGCACTTATTCCGTATCCGCAAGGTCCGCGGCCCGACCT